CAAATGTCTGTGTAGACTTGGTGGCCCAGTCGTATCCTGATACGAAAATCTCTGGTAATATTTGACCCGGTGAAGGTATTTGTAAAACAATAAATAAAATGAATTCTATATATCAACCAACGTGATGATGGCTTTTTGATGAGTGTATGAATAGCATTTAGTTTGGTGCTGAATATTACTGAAACAGTATTGTTTGGGACATATAGTTCGGCTGAATGCTTCTTGTTAAATGATACAAGTGTCACAGAGACTGTGACCTGCCACCCATACTTTTTTAAAATCAAAGCTTTGTCCTTTAATCTGTTCATCCTAAATAAGTGTAAAATATCAGCCATGCGCAGCAGCCTTGCATAGAAATTTCACCAAATATTGCACTTCCTTTTTTTAATGATATCCTCTAAATGTTTAATGCAAATTGTGATTCACTGCTAGAATCAGGTTATCAGTCGAATAGCTTTATTGTTTGTAAGTATTTTTAATAACGTTCCGTGGATTTTAGCCGAAAAGGAACAAGATTTGCATAGATGTATATAACACGTTTCGATAGAATGAAAACGAATTCACTATGAGAAGGAACGTTAGAACATTTGTATTTTGACTGTTCACCAAGAGAATAACCAGTTTTACATGTTTAGTGCTTAGTGCTGATGCTATTCGACGTCTAGTGAGGTAGATTTGTAAGACGATCATCACGATAGATAATTCATTGTCACGGTGCACTTGACATTTTTGCTGGGTGATTAAAAGCAATCGGTATAGAACCATGGATCCAAGTTTCATGCTTCTTGACACACGTCAGCAAGGAGTATCTGCCACCTCTTAGTGAATCTACTCCAAGAAGAGGCACCAAACAATGTAGTCAGAAACATTGAATTTGAGTTGTTAAGATTTGCGGATTTTCAGAACTATTTTACAAATACAAACTAGCCATTTATGTATGAAGAAGTAGGTAAAGTTGAAGTTTGTATTGTGGAAGTAGCTTATATAGTATGTGTGATATTATATGTTATTTCTACTGCTTATGGGACAATTTCTTAGCTTTTAGGCAGACATTTTTAACGAATCCACCAAACTATAAAACGAAGTGTTGATTTATCAGTGTTACACGCTTCTTAAGCGTCCGCAGTTCAGTAGCGGAATGCCCACCAACGACGACACTACGCCGGGGTTTGATCCCCAGCTGACTCACTCCTGAACTTCGTCTTGTCAGTAGTATGTCCATTAAAGAAGGAAGTTTGAGTGCAAAGCTAGGAACGTCATCGCGTAAAAGACGAATTCATAACTATTGAAACTTCAAGGCTAAAATATGAGCCTTGCTTCCCACTGTGAACGTAAAGGAACTAAGTGCAATAAAGTAAGTCGTTTCTTGGTGATTTACAGCGAAATCTAGGTGGTGAATTTCGTCATCATTGGAACTTATCAGTTGGATCTATCTGCATCCTTGTGGGGGACAGTGTTTCACTGAGATACGAAAGGAGAATTCATTAATCCTTACATGCTATCTATCAGATGCAATTCCTATACAACATGAAAATATATATACATATATATATCACTCATGAAGAAATTTAAATCATTCCACTTTATGCTAAATATTGCGATGAAGCTGTTGTCCAGAAGGACAACGAAACCTCCGCAACTAAACCAACCAGCTCCGACAATAATAATAATTACGAAACATGCAAATATTTTGTTTCTGCGCCTCCTTTAGATATATATTCACACCTTAAGATTTTCATATGAAGTTGATAATTTTTATCTTGTCTGATCACCCTTTCTTAGTATGTTTATTTGATTAGTGATTGTAACTATGTGAATGTATGTATTAAAACGCGATTTTATATCTGCTTTAGAGGTTGAAATCGTGTAAGAGAAATTTTTGCTGCGTTTCTAGTTCTTTTCTGTTTGGGGGAATTTGGGTAAAGACATCAACTATTTTTACTACTAATTTTTAAATTAAGTGAACTAAGCGATGATTAACCCTGGCACAGTTGAATCACTGATACATACATCTGTACATACTTGAATGTTGGTCATTTAAGTTTGCTGTAATTCCTTTATAGGATGGTATACTTTGCTTGTTAGTCTTTCAAACTGTTTTATCAGTTATATAGCCAGAAGGTAATTGAAATGAAAACTGAACTCAGGTTTTGCTGACATTCAATACATACTACTGACAGGAGTTGATAACATAAATCTCAACAAACCAGGTATAAAAATAATTGACATGAAAGTTACAGATCTACAACTGAAAGTCAATTATCTTTCTTACTTCAATTGTGACTATAATATTCAGAATGTAGTGTACATGCTCAATGTAATTTCGATTTCCTGTTGTATTTAATGAAGGATAAATTCCATAGGAAAAAACGTTTTAGGTTTCCGTTAGAACTTATCGTAACTGTCATTCCGTATCTGATTGTTTCAAGCTTTTTAAAGCATGTTATTTGCTCAAATCCTCATGAAAATATACATTCCTCGCTAAGCTTTTTAACTACATTTTGCTAATTAGTTCAGAAAAATTTCTAGGCTTAGCTTAGGATTTCCGATTAACCTGAATAAAATACTTATACCAAACACAATATATTCTTTTTAACCGGCCTAAAAGCTCTTTGATAAAATACATTTTATTGATGCTTGTCGACCACATATGCTGTCCGAGGTTCGACCCCGGCTGACGCACTCCTTTACCTCACTAAGCCAGTAACAAGCCCGGTAAAGAGGGAAAGTTGTGCATGAGGTTAGCAACCCCATTCCGTAAAAATAAACATCACTGCTACCAAAACTTGAAGTCTCTAGCTTGAAGCCTTATGTCCCACTGGGAATGTAAAGAAATAAAAATCTGACAAAAGGAAGGGATTCACTGCCAGTCAAATGACTAGAATGATTTACAACTTATAGTTCGGGCAATCTAAGATTTAAAGGTAGATCACTTAAAACCGAATGGTACTTAGTGTTTGTTTCATATGACTTTGGAACTATTCAGCAGTGCATATCCATGACCCTTCAAGATTTAGTCAAGTAACTTCAGGTTATGAGGCGAACCGGTTAATCACTTAGCCACTGGGTTAGAATGCAGTCAGCCTTAAACCTCAGCTTCTGTCAGAGTCGAATAAAACAACTATGCAGTGCTTCTTGCTTGTCCATGATTCTGTATTAGATGTTGAAATTATTGAAAAGTCCCTAACGTACCCAAAACTGTTTACCACTAGGACTCATCTGAAAACCTATATGTAGATACATTCTTATGAGGATTCGTGTAGATATCACTGAAAGTCATCTATTAAAAATGGTTGAAACATTCATATAATGTATTTCGCCATGCACATATAAGGTAAAAGTGTTAATCCCTTATTCTGAGAACCTACACATCATTAGATAGAATTAGAAATATTAATCATATTGTAGAGTGCCGGATGCAGGTATTTAGTGGATTTCAAGACTAGTCACGAATTGGCATCATTTACATCATCATAAGGCTAGTTTGTATACCATTGAGCCACTTGAAAAGAATCTAATATCTTGTGAATAATTAATTCTTTAAATTCGCCTTATATAGTGCCACGTCTGACAAATGTCATAGGTGATCATGTTATATATATCGAATTAGCAGAGGTTAGATTAGATTTGTCAATAGATTTCGTTCCTTTGGATGACTGGTACACAAAATCGCCCTGGAACTTGAAGGTCCTGGGTTCAATCTTTGGTGCCTACCATCTAATAGCTCGAACCAAGAATGGAGCAGCTGTCCAGCACCTTTTGGTTCTCAGTGGTTCTGTAGCTGGTGTTACCTATAACCAGTCTTGAAATCCTATTTATCATGACGAAATTCACTCTGAATTTCTAACAAGCCTTAAATCTAGGTTATAAACGATCCTACAAAAAGATTCTGAGGAGACAGCATCATTCAGATGAAATATTAAAGAGATAATCGAGTCAGTTAATAGGACAGAAAATAAATTTTCAGACATGAAATGTCTTTTTTTATAGGAAAAGATTTACCGTGGGCAAATTAGTTTAGAGATTGTTATTTATAAAATGGCATGGCGTAAAAAATAGGGCAAGTGGAATAAGTAATCCTGTCGGAATAATTCATCAACTACCTGAAGTTATTCCAGTGAATAAAATGCGTTGTTTATATAAACTCACTTATATTATATGAAAAGAATATGGAGCAAACTAAATCAAAGAACTTTTAACCAAAAAGAGACTGTCTTCCAAGCAAATGCATACTGGGAAAAAGCAGATTTTTGGACGACTGCTTGCAAATACCACGTTCATGTTGTGTAATTGCAATGCGAACATCACCCCCACATTATAAACGTGCATCGTTTTATTGATGCAAATGTCTACCAGACGATAGCTTTACATCGATCTTTAATCAGCAGAGTTGCATAGCGTGAAACAAATAGCACTGGCTGAGGAAAAGTGATCTATACCAAACTGATTCCAATTAATGTATTTTTGCAAGTTTGACCAAGAGATAACATCACTTATAGGACCACTGGAAAACATGAGAGTACTGGACAGGTTTTTCTTCCCAGTATGAAACCCTTTAGCGGTATAAGCGCACCGCCAGAGCTTGGACCTAGTATCTTCTGGTTACAAGACGAGCTCGTAGACTATTCAGACACTGGCACCTGATTCAACGGTCCATGAATTCTAGCTTCTAGCATTTCGTTATATATAAAGCTCAACCACCAACCATTCACACAGGCTGGTAGCTGTACTTCTTCCTGACTTGATGGACCCCAAGAGTTACGACATTTCACACTGGCTAGCAGTTACGCTATAAATATGTATCGCAAAATAGGAGAACTTCAAATCCATGGCGCTGGTTTCGAACCCAAGTGTGTGCGTACTGGTGAAGGGTCTTAAACTAGGACGAAACAGCTGTCAATTTCTCTCTGGTTTTCCAGTGAATCAAACTTATAACCAATCAAATCCATGCAAACTAATACTTGGTAAAAATGTTTTCATGATGTTAACTCATGACTTACCTATTATAAATAATAATTCCACAATAATATCACAAATAATTAAATCTTTTTCACCACCTCCTTCAGAAAATGCTGCATTATACGGTACCATTATAGCAATATAAAATGTACACAATAGTATCATCCAATCCCATATAATTTTAAATAAACTATAATGAAGTAGAATAAATCTTGAAGCTTGAACATCTTGTACTTTGTATTCAGGTATGGCTTCTTTACCAGAGATTCGTTGAAACTGAAAAGAAAAATAGTACATTTTGAGGAAGGTATGATGTTTGTTAAAAGACACATCTAAAATATTATAAATGTGGTACACTAATTTTCGGAATAAGTAATGACTAGACGAAGATCCGATTTGCGGTAGCATTACATGCCGTTAGGCGTTCTATCGGATGGAGTGTCAGATTTACTTGCGCTAATAAGCTAATCAGTTTACTACAGGCATCGTGAGTAAGGCTCAGACGTTGTGTGAATGAACTAAATGAAATCGCACACCTAAGTGAATGAGATTTATAACTGAAATCGAAACACGAGAGAAAGTTGTAGGAGGAAGAAAAGTAACAATCGGTAGCTGACTGCTTAGGCATCTGATTGTATTAATTCAAATACGATACATTTTCTTGTAATGAGAAAGGCTTAAAAATGGCAACCGCTGAATTGATATTAAAACAGTTAGGAAACCGTTAAACCCATAACACACTTCATAACACCAGGCTTTCTACAAATAATTTGATTTGAAGTAAGCGGTTATATAAAACAAAATGGTATGGATAACATTTCGCGAAGTTCAAGAAGTTTTTGCAGTTCGGATGCTATGCGATATGCGAGCTTAGCACTCAGTCGCTGGTGAAAGTATCTGGATCTCTGCAGTATGATAAGTGATATATTATTAAGTTTATAGTTGGATACTTTGGTTGTGGGTTTTCTAAAGGCCTTTGTGTATTTGCTGTATTACTCATGTTCTTCTAATACCCCAATGTAGACAGCACATTGAGAGTAGACATTATTTACGCAGACATCTTATAACATTTAGTTCAGAGTCAGAAAATGATACGAGATTAGCGTTTCGACAGCCTCAGAACTTGTCTAGTTGTTAGTTCTAAGAATGGTTGAAAGTATCTAGCTTACGAAGTATTGTTTTGATTACTTGAATGTAAAATTAGTAATTGAACATAAATTGGAACGTTTCAAATCTGTAGTTGGAGTTCAAAATATCTGGAATCTCAGTGTTTCAGAAAGTCAAATCCGAAAGTATTTATCGCAGCTTTCTCTCAGCAGCTCCCTGATCTTACTGAAGTTTTCCAACTTCTGTTTTGGCTGATATCGTCTGTTCCTTATTTTGTTTTTAACACATGAATATGGGGCTAGAACAGCCATGAAACAGCGTTGGTCCTAAGGTACAACCATTTTATGTATTAAAGATCTTTAACTATACAGCTTTCCTGAAAAAGTCTATTATCTTTGATTTCAAGAAAAGGTTTCACTGGGTCAGATTTCGTTCAGTTAAACAAATCTAACCGAATATTATTCAGTGTGTGCTTGCTAGCAGTTTAATCTACGATGTACATTTCGTCCTACCTGTGATTCGTCAACCGGATATACCTGGAATCTCAAGTGGGTCAGGGTGTTCCCACTAAAACCCAAACCCGGTACTCATCATTCGAAAGGCCAAAATGTTGTCCATTAGCCCATCTGGGGTTTGAAATGATGTTTCTATGCTCAGCTTTTAGAGGGAGAACCAGCAGTGATTAGATGCTGCAGACACATACAGCTGAACAGTCACAAACAGGAAAAATGCACATCCTGGATTCCACTGTAAATCAACATACAGTAAATAGCTTCTTGTTCATTCCTTGACTTCATCGAGGAATGGCATTTTAAGAGCTGACATTTTTATAACAAAGACAGAACATTTATGTTCGGTCAATCAATGGGAAGAAGACTGATTTAAACAAATTTGCCTAGAATTCATCTGCACACAGAATTTTTGTAGATTTCATTTATTTTCATTTTAACTGATTAAAAAATGCTTATTTAAACTTTTGAAGGAATTATTACTGAGCAAAGAATATTCTTTTTGATAACTTCATCATTAGGTCCTACAGTTATATATCCATAATAGTGTATGAATTAGTGTTATTAACAGCATTAGTGTTGTTTAAATAACATCGAATCAATAATAATATCAATGGATTACAGTTCTGTAGCATCAACATAACAATACACTGAATATCAGAAAATTAGGAAAGATAATAATAATAAAAATTCATGAATTCATAGTTTCCACTGTAAGCCAGAGCAGTAGTAGTGGCTGGACTCTTTTTTTTCCATGCGGTACCTGGATGCTTTTGGTAATTTGTTTGGTACCCGATGGACGATAGAAAAGTACTCCTTATTAGCTTTGTGGCCAGTTTGGACCAGGTGTTCTATTGGTGCTTCTCACAACACCTTTATTTGACCACACTGGTAGATTTCCCGAGCATGAAAAATCAAGTTCCTAGAGCAGCGGTCAATATGACTTGTTCCACAAGCGCGGTTGGATTGGGAAATACAGTTAGAAGTGGCTAGTCTAGGTACTTCATCTTTCAATTAGGGAACCGATCGTTTAAAAAATAAGACTTGTAGTTTGCCGGCTTTAAAACCTGATGATGAATTTACTGAAAAAATATTCTTTATTCAGTAGCCAGTCTTTTGAATATTTTTATTTGATTTCTTCGTATTCGGAGTGAACACATCCGGCTTTACCCTTCAGCTTTGAAGTTTCATTAGCAGAGGGATTGTCTGTACCACGTGGGATTGCTAGTCTTACTCCCAACCTTCTCTTTTTGTCGGCTTTACAACCTGCTAGGCGAGGTAAAGATGTACGCTGTACGGGAATTGAATCACCCATCGAATATGCATGATTGGTGAGCTTCCTACCATTGAATCACTGATATACAATTTTCTAGAATGTTTTGATGAAAAATGAACCTTAGGTGTAAATATCTTTGGTTGCATATTGCACCATGAATGGACTTTAAATCATACGAAAGTACACAGAATTGTATATATGTCATTCAATTTGCAATGAAATTAGTCCAGATACAGTTATTTTCCTCTCACTAAAATAGACTACTTATGCGAAAAAAGTGAAAAAATTAGGGTCTCCGTATGGATCATTCTCTTACCTTTTTGAATGGTAGTCTGTGTTTTGACTTTTGATCAAATCTTCCAGATAAATGATACAATACAGCACGACTTCTACGTCTTTGAAATTTAAACGCAGTTGATGGATCATCTGTTGTATTGCTTGAATCATCTGTTGAAGAATCTGATGAATCTGATTCAGGAACCATTAATTTATTGGAAGTTGCTGATTTACTATTACTACTATTATTATTACTGAAGCAATTATATTCTGGAGTTAATAATGGTCCAGTCTCAATATCTACAACATTTGATGGCGTGTTCTTATTCAAGCTACACGTTTGTATCTTATCATTTTGATGCATATAACTTCTGTCAATACTATTTCTACAAGTACTATCCTTAGGTGATGGATACTTTGAAGAAGGATTGTTTGAGTCAGTTGAACTACGTGCTGAACAATTCTGTACAACTGGCTTATTTCTATCAATTAAATCATGCGAAAGTTTTGGTTGAGGTTTACTTTTATTTGTACTTAAATAATCCAACATTTTATTACTACGAAATCCAGTTGAGCCTAAAGCTGCTGCGGTGATGGTTGTTGCTAGTCCCATTGTAAGTAGATTTGGTGATTTGTTTGTTAAAGAGACTCCTGTTACATGTTGAGCAGATAATAAATAGGGTAGTCTTAAACTTGATTCAGGTACTTTACAGTTGGTTTTGTCTAAAATTGATGAAAAAAGTGAAGGTAAATGGATTTAGAAAGAGTGAGAGAGAAAATTTATTTTTAACAATGAAAATTATGTAGACGACAACATCAACGGCTGGCGTCAACTAAGGCAATTTCCCTTGTGTTTCAAAACTCAAATTTACTGCATACAACAAAGTGTTTGATGGCAGAAGTAGGTGAGGGAATACGAGGGTATACATTATATGGAACTAGAAAGAAACATTATCATTAGTAGTAGTAGTAGTAATAGTAATAATGGGAGAAGAGAATAAAAGATCTGTTTATCGTATTCAGAATTCTGTTAAAGTGATTTCCATAATTATATATCTAGTGCATACCTAGTGTATTCTAGCTGAATCCTAGCACCGAAAATTGTATTTCAATAATACAATTCACTGTACATTCCAGTGAGTATGATGTTGTTTGTTGAACTAGACGACGTAAGATAGTTTTAACTTGTTTTGCACAACCAACTGCTTTTTGAACTGTAAAATTGAACTTTGTGGCTCTGTACTTAAGTTTTTCGCTTTATATGATGTTTTTGTTACAAAACTTTTTACTTTTGGGACAGTGGTTTTCTAAGTGACTAAAACTGAGCCACTCACATATTCAAATCCTCGAGTTCCCTCATATTGCCCTCAGTTGTATCTAGTAATTTATCTGTGCTTTCAATGGCACCGATGGCTTGGTAGTACAGTCCTCGCTAACCACGAAAGTTATCTGGGGTTCGATTCCTGTCATACAGGCTCTTATAACCTGCGTAACCATTAGTAAGCTTAGTTAGACGGGATGGTTGGTTTTAAGGCTAGCAACCTCACTCCGTGAAGGAAACGTATCACCGTTACTGAAAATTCAAGGCTGAAATTTGAAGTCCTATACTCCATTAGGTATGCTATAGGAATACTCATACTTTAAAAGAATAGAGTTTTTTGTGAAATATTTTGGGTATACAACCAACAGATTGTTGTCAGGCGGGAGGAAGACTACTTATCAGCATTGCTGGCGGATACATTCTTGATACACGTCCTGTCACGCATCCTAATAAGGCATTTCAATAATCGTGTCGATTTTCACTATGGACACTGACTTAAATGTTTTCGTTGCGTATTCTGAAAGAATACGAAGATGTACAAATGTATTAAAAAATTCAAGTCACCATGCATTCAAACAATATGAATCTTCATAATTTGAATAAGTTGGTGGAAATATAGGGACATAATAGAAAAGAACCTTGGTATGATAAAGTATACTACTTTGTGGTGAAAAATTCATCAGTAAACGTTACAAAATGACTTTGAACTTAATGAAATAAAAACATTCCATAGTAGAATAGCATAATACATAAATTCCCCTTTTTAAACTTAAAGAGAGATGAAAAAACAATGATGGAGGAGCGAAGAGACAGGAATACACCAGACGTATACGAAGAATCTAGAAAACCTAGATTTCACAAATGGTATATGTCTGATATCAGGTGATTTCGAAGACTTGCGAACAAAACTTACAAGTTGATAGAAAAACTAAAAAACGATGGAACTTCACGTAAATATAGAGAAGACGGAGGTAGTGAAGATAACGACAACAAGAAGCATCAACTACTGTCAACTGGAGAGACTTGAGTGAAGTTACATCCCTCACTTATGTAAGCATAATCGTTTCATCTCCAGGCGTCATGGATGGAGACGTAAACACCAGAATCGGAAACGCAAGTCAAGCCTCCTTCACTCTGAAGTCAGCTGGGAAATCTGCTGCACTTAGCGTAATGAATAAAATTTGAATTTTCACCATCAGTGTTAATTCAGTTTTTCTGTACAGTTCAGAGACTTGGCCTACGCGTCACGAAAAGCATGTCGAACAGGCCACTGTAAACTTCCATCAATAGCTTCCTTCACTCCATATTGAAGATCGGACGACCAGAAAGAATTAGTGACAATTGACTCTGAGAGGGAAACCAGTCGATAACCTGTTGCTATACTAGTATGCCAAAGAAAACTTAAATGGATTGGATACACGATGAAGAAACCAGTGAGTGACATCACACAGAATGTAGGCCCTCAGTGTAACTCAAGTGAGAAACGATGGGTTGCGCGTGTTTTCGACATCGACATGACGAAGATAGTGTAACGAGGAGATTACAACTTATGGCTGGTCGTTGGGCTGGCAACAGGGGAATACAGGGACCGGACAGATTGCAGAAGTGGCTGTGGAAGCTTCATGTTACACTTGGAACCTAAGGGAATACTAATACGAATACATAATAATATTAGCCGTAGATTTTTAATCGGAATTTGGGTTATCTGTTAATGTTGTTCACCATACTCATTGTTTCACATGAATCAGGGAGTATATTAAGCATGACAGGATGATGATCGTCACAATGTGTAGATTTAATTGAAGAAAGATTAAGGAAAGATTGAAATAATGCGTGAATCTATGATGGAGGTAGTAGACATAATTTTTTTTATTTCCAAAACAATGCCAACTGGCAGCTGCAGTTCGGAGTAACGTGGAATATATTTGGAAACGAATAATTTATGTATTGTTTTCATGCTAATTGTAATATCACATATATCTGCCTTGTCTGTTTTTCCATATCCTTATTCTTCTTTTGTTTTGTGATATTCTACAACCATTGGTCATGTTATTTTCATTCACTAAATCAAACCTTTTATTTCATCGTCTACAACAAAAAACTGAACAGTTTTCGTTGTAGATACATCATACTTTGATGTGCCTTAGTCATGCACCTTTTGGAAATTAAATCAAACGTGGGCGTAAAAAGTTGCCTTTCCTGAAGTGAGGATATTTTTGTAATAATGTGCAAAGTTGATTTTCATTTTCTAAATACACGCAGTTGGAAATATGCTGTCTTTTAAGACATTTTTGTCAATTTGAAACAAGCAACAAATGTTAATGAGGCAGGATTTAAAAAATCGCCAAATTTCGATAGAATTCTTCACCTAAATACTCTACAAACAGTGAAGTATACATAACATTAGAATGGCATTGGGAGATATGTGATTGATAAGTGAAAAATAATTGGTATTCAACTAAATCCAGTATTAGAAGTAGTGGCACGTTCACTTTCTGTATTTTTGGCGGACCATATAAACGGGGAAACATGGAACCTGAGGGTTGTATTTGCTCAAAATATTCAGATCCGATAATCAATCTGTTCTTCGTTTTCTTCAGCATTTGTGTCATCTTTCTTTTGAGTATTTTGAAAGTAACCAGAAAGACCAAACGGAACAAACTGGAGGAAATATAACTTAAATGTTGAAGAAGATGGTGAACGAGTCAATTACCGGCTCTGAATTATTTATTCAACGGCAGACTCAAAATACACAAGCCAAATATCCCGTTACGACCAATTGTATCACTCCCAGGGACTCCAACATATAATTTATCCAAAGAACTATACAGAAAACTAAAACACCTAACGTAATCTTGTGATCACTCCATCAACTCTGCTATCCAATTCCAACAGAAAATCAGAGGCATCCAAATAGATGAACAAGAAGTAGTGATATCCTCCGACGTCACAGCTTTATATACCTCAATCGGACAAAACCTAGCAACAGAAACCATGAAGCAATTAATTATCAGCTACGAACACCTTCCACAACAATCAAAAATGCATCACAAGCTGGATGAAATGCATAAACGTTTGCCTAACAACATACTTCAAATTCAACGGCCAAATATATGAACAAGTCAAAGGAACACCTACGGGATCGCCAATATCAAGTTTGATTGCAGAAGCAGTGATGCAACGGCCCGAAAACATACTTCTACCGAAGATAAAACCAAAAATTTGGATACGTTACGTTGACGACACATTTGTAATCATCAAAAGAAACGAATTAGATAAAACTCACAACTTAATAAACAACGTCTTCAACGACATCAAATTCACAAGAGAACTAAATACCATTTTTGGACGTCTCAGTCAAGCGAACAGTCACAGGGAATTAGAAATTCAAGTTTATAGAAAATCAACTCACACAGACCAAATCCTGAATTACAACAACACAATCCATTACCATATATAAGGAAAATTGAAGAAAAGTATCTCATGGACGTCTTCCAAAAGAATGGGTATCCACAAAATTTCATCAAAAGACATATACCCCCAAGCCAACCTATCAAACCGAAAGCCCCCAAGGAAAGCACAAAGAAAATCGCCTTACCATATATAAAGGATATCTCAGAAATCACTACAAGACTCCTCAATCCTTTAGGAATCGACGTCGTACACAAACCAACAAAGTCGCTGCACTCAATTCTATGTCAATCAAAAGACTCAACAGCAAAAGAAGACAAAACCAACATCATCTACAAATAAATTGTAACAACTGCGAAATGCATTACATTGGCCAAAGTGGACGTCCCCTTCGTCTTTGTATCCACAAACATAAGCTAGCCGTCAAAAGACATGCTATCCACTCTCTCATATCACTACATACAGAAAACCACGGATATCAATTCGACTAGGACAACCAACGTTCATATATTAGGCAGAGGAAACAACAAGAATGTTAGAGAATTTTTAGAAGCTTGGCATTCCAGTGAATCATCAATCAGTAGACATATCGAGATAGACTAAATTTATCAACCGATAAGAAAGAAATTCCATATTCGTTTGTTTATTAGATGTATCACACAGTGAAACAGTATTGTGTACTGGATGACGTTTCAAACACAATTTATTGTTCATAATCATATCACACGATAAGAAAGAAACCTCACACACAGAGGTTCAATGTTCAAGTTAAAGAAATAATCAGTTTCAATACAAATAGCTGTCTAGAAGGTGTGAAAACGCACGTAAAAACAACCAGTCACGTCCAAGGTCACCGGAGAGATGATTAATAAACTCGTGCAGAAATCTAAAAGCTCACTTCAAATTGAAGTATTCGCCGAAGGTGTCTCCTAGTAGGGCGATGAAAGCTTCGCAAATGTACTATCCAGCTCAGAGAACACAACCACGTAAA